GTTACAACTATCCCAGAACGTTATCCCCATGGCACTCCTGTAAGCATCAACCACTTCCTCTGTCAGCCACATGAGTTCACTTCCCCCCCCCCCGACCCCAAACTAGTTTACTTTATTCGATCCCTCAGAAGGCATAGATAAAAAGTACAGATTAAACCAAGCTTTATTACCCAGTAGCAAAGTACGAATGGACAAATGGCAAACAATACCAGAGTCAGGACAGTCGTGCGACTAACAGTGAAGCTAAGGGTAGCATCGAAAATGGCAAACCTAAGCAATGGTAGGACCGAACGATCGAATAACGTTAATGGAAATACCGATTTGTATACATGCAAAAGCTAACATTGAACAATGGTCATCAGCGGAAGAGTGTGGTTCGACCCAGTCGGGAGTGCACCCTCCAGGACCTTGTCAACAACACGGCAATTCAGAGGTGCTAAAAAAAATTACATTCCAACGCGATTTAAAAGTGATACTCAAGGAAAATTGCTGACTGAACTGAAATTCATATGTACAATTAGCTATCGCCAAGGGAGACTAAGAAATACCAAAATACCGTTGCATAGTGTAGAAATAAGCTGCAAAAAATTGCACCTAGATCAAGAGGATAGTACTAGTAGCGACTGAAGTAAGATCATATTCGACTTTGGCTGAGAACGCCCTAATGGGCAAAAAGATACTGCCCCAACAATCGGACTTTCATTACGGAGTTGTCGGCTCGTAAAGAAATAATGCAAATGCGATGCATGAATCACAGGTCCAGATAAGAAGAATAGCTTTCGCCGCTCTAATACAGGAATTATGAGGCTGACAGAGTTCAGAGTGAACATAAACGCAGACAACGAACAGATTATGATGTTCATAAAGCGATGGTTACTCAGCCAAATGTTCTCAAAACTCCATTTACTAACTCTGTTCGATTTAGCGAGTCACTAATCTGCAAACTCAAATCCAGCATACTGAATGTTTTAACAAGATTTCTACTGCCAACAAAAACATTAAGGACAAGGATTTCTTGCCTTCGATAGACGTTGCCAGATTATGTAGTGCTTGGGCTGCGCGCCGTCTTCGAACGAATTTGTCTAAACAAAAATAATAGTGAAGTCAGTGCACCCTTTACTTCAGTCGCAATACAACTTACTCAGCAGCAAAACGATGATTCCCATACTACGACGGACAATGGGAAGAACCCACTATTTCTCGCTAGTGGAAAACAGTGGTAGCAATTTCGCACCTTCCTAAGTACGAAAAGATCTGTGTTCCTAACGGAACACACCTAAAGGATTTGAAAAGTAGTCTCCTCTTAATGGATCAAATCTCATAGACAACTCAGAGCTGTGTCTACAGTTAGTTTTGGTTCACAAGAAGCACGTGGTGAGTCCAACCCAATTCGAATTGATGATACAAGCAAAAACAGAAAATGGGAAAAGGTAGTGAAGATCAACATTGTGAGGAATTATTAGGGGATGACTCGTCCTTATCCTTCAAGAACCAGATTTGGATCATTTAAAGATGGGTTGGAATGGGAATAGCTATGAGAGGAGACCCAACACTGATCTGCCCACAAGATCGTACAAATCCAGGTGGTCAACAGAAAAGACTAAGGCACTAATAATAGTCCGAATAAGTAGTCCCTTATCTCGTTTCTACGTCAGTAATATTCCTAACTGCAAAACAGACCGACGGATTTTTCGGACGAAGACATAGTCACACGAATTTCTTATCTTTAACCATACGTTTTTCTTGCCTTTTGAATGGAGTAAAACTAGTTAGCTCAATATCGCTGGCGTTGAGGTCATAGAGTCATAAAATATTAGTTCCAATGAAAAGCCTTGCACCTGAAGACCAGTGCTGAAGGTGAGCTTCGACTAGTGGACACACTCAAAAAGCTTAGGGTAGAAACAAGGAAATACTGCAGTAATATTTCTCACTCGTCAACTTTCATTCACTGAAGAAAAAGGTTGGCTTTTATGCCAAACGTAAGGCTGCGTTGCAAGAAAACGGGGCTAGTACCGACAAAAGAAAGCCGTTCCGTTCTTTGACGATATTATGGCGTCTGATCTCCTCAACACCTACAGTTGAACTCCCATATTTCATGATTTGGCGAAGGATGGCACAATTGTAAACGGTCCCGTACGAATTCACAGCGACACCTATTTGACCAAGACTGCTTGTCATTGTACCACCAAACTAAAGTTTTGACGACGCGCGATTGCTTGGTGTTAAATTCAGTCAGTGCATGGGTAATTTTGGTTCTGAAGTAACATCATGAAAAGCAAAAGTAAAGCTCTTGCAATGCGCATGAATTGGTATAAAGGGGATACAAAGTAGCCATGGCGATGAAGCTTCGCCTACCCGAAACAATCGCGTTCCCATCTTCCTTCTTCCCTTCATCATCCATCGATGAAACCAAATGCTCCAAGAAGTTAGTCAACGGGATTTCTTCTGGAGGACAGCGACAAACCTTTCTTGGAACGTCCGGACTATCCCGACTCTCACCCGGCGGACACTCCTCCGTACAAATCACGGGCGACATTTCGGCCTCCGAAATCTGTTAATGGTATATGCACAAAGGTTTGGTAAAGCCTACTGATTCTTGGAATGAACATCATAACCATCTTTTCAAAGGACAAGACTGAAATATCACACAGCAAGTCTAAAGCGACCCACATTACACGGTCTTTTCAATGAAAGCAAATAACATAATGACAAAAAAGTATAAAATTACACCAAAGCTCACAAGACCTCATACCGGTGCATTTAACATAAAAATCCATTCGGCAGCGGTTATGATCTACCACAACTGAACTAACAACATATAATAATGGGAGCCTCAGAGCCATCCGCAATACAAGCATTTCAGAAGCTATAAAACGTTTTCCATCTTGGCAGTACTTACCATCCGGTTAGTACAAGCTCTTTAAAACTCAATTCGTGCAAGCAAGGAGATGACAGTGGGCAATCAAATGCATTTCTACGAAACAATGAAAATTCAGACACCAGTAGCATTTATATACCTTGGCATACATCATCAGCGATTGCGTAAAAAAACTCAAAAAGAATGGCTAAATAAACAACACAGATGAAGGCAGATAAAAGTAGTGTTTTAATTGTAGGCGTAAAACCCGTTTTTGCAGCCTGATAACAAATGGCGAATGAACCATTCACAGTACATATCCACAAAAAATCCCCTCACATTCTACGACTGTGAGCGACCAATACACAGTTTTGCTAAAATGGTTTTCAAATGCGCGCAGCCGAAATACGCCTAGACTGCTTTCAAGGGGTGTAGTTTCTGCATGAACCAGTCTCCGGAGCGAACAAAGTCGGGTGGGGGAGATGACCAATGCAAACAAGCGCACTGAGGCGCAACAAAAATTTTCATGGTGAATACTAGACACTTGTAGGCATCAATAAATTATTCTGGAAACACAACGCTGT